CCCCAAAACCCCAAAACCCCAAAACCCCAAACGCTTGGCTATACATTGAATTTTTTAAGAGGCTGTTACTGCTTAGAGTGTTTTTTGAAGGAGTGCTTATCTTCAAAACACGACAAATTTTCATCCAAAATCCTCATCCATCACCCCAAACACACCTCCCATACCATCACTAAATTCCCTCCCAAAACCACCCATCAACCCACCACTCCAACTAACCTATCTCTCTCTTAAACAACTAAAATTTATTCCAGCCTAGCATGAACAACTAGGAACTAAATCTGAATAGTTTTAAACTTGCAGTTCATAGCATGGAGGTTACGGAATGAGATAATGAAGATTTTAAGTGGAGTTTTGGGGTATGAGGGGTGGAGGTTGGGGGATTTTTGTTAGGGGATTTAGAGAGAGTTTTTGTTGAGGATATAGGTGGGGTGGGTTAGGAAGAGTTTAGGGTGAGAGATAGGTTGGTTGGGAGAGGGGGAGGTGGATTTGGTAGGTGTGGATAGAGGTGTTGAGGGGGATATAATGGTGAGGGGGTAAAGAAGATTGTGATCAATTAGGAGGGATTTATGAAGAAGAAATGGGACTGAAGATGAGTCAAAAGTGATTTGAATTGAAGTTCTCACTAGACCGTATCACAAAAACACTTGTACAATTTAATGAATACGCTGCGAGAGGAGATGGGAGTGAGAGAAGTCGAAAAGATAACATCAGACAAGACTCCACCTATAACACTCAAAACCCAAACCTCAGCTTTAGACATCAGGCAAGAACTCGAAGCTATAAAGAAGGACCTTAAGGAAGAAGACTTCTTCGTAGAGTTCTGCTTGTGGAAAGTCTGCGAAGAAGAAGTAGAACACTCACAAGCAAAAGGAAAAGAGAGGAGGGTGAAGCAGGAAGAGGAGAACAGTAAGGAAGGGTAAGTGAGGAAAAGAGAGGGTTAAACGGGACTTTGGTGTTTTGGAATTTTGCAATTACGGTTTTAGAGAGATTCCTAAGCCAAAGAAAGAGCAATTGATTAAAGAGAAAGATTTTAAAATTAAGAAATTGGAAGGTATTATAAAGACTAAAGAAGATCAGCTAGTAACTGGAAGAAAGAGAATAAAGTTATTAGATGACAAGTTTAAAACTAAAGCAGAAGAGCTAAACAATATGAAATAAGAATAAATCTACCAAAAACAGTGAAGGCAAAAGCAAGAAAGCCCAGTCAGTTGTTAGCAAGTAAGTTTATATTTTTCCTTATTCATAAATCTTGAAATACTTTCCTTTGGTCTATTGAAACTTGATCTCTTTGTCTAAACTTTTCTATAGAGCTTCAAAGGCAAGTTCGCAAAAAGGGTAATCATCTGGAGCCAAATCGATAAAATTATTGAATGCAGGGCCAGCTGATGATCATGTTTGAGGAAAGCCTATTTTCAATTGCTGTGCCACTTATCTCAGATTCATGAAAGAAGATTATGAAAAAGAAATTGAAGAGAGAAAGAAAGACTGTAAAAGACTCAAAACTTTACTTGCCAAGTCTAAGAAAGAATTTGAAGAATCTGTTAAAGAAAGCATAAAGAATTTAAGAAAACAGAGGATATGACCTCGTTAAAAGAATCTATGATTGAGAAGATCAATTCTGGAAAGATATCTTTTGATACATCGTCATTGAAATTAAAAGATAGGAGCAGTTCTAATCCTATCTCTACAATAAAAGAAGAGATAGTGAATATGCTTAGCTTTTCTATCCCAAAGGAATTTGACGCTCTTCATAAATGTATTACTTGAGAGGATTTCAATATAACTTCAAAGTCATCTCTTACTCTTGATCTTCAAAAAGAATCTCATATGTCCTTTATCTCCTCTATAAACAGCCAGATTCCTAACCTCTCCAGACTCAACTTTAGATGAGTCCCTGATGACTCAGAAGAAGTGATATCTTTCCTCCAAAATTACTTTCCCAAAAAGCTAAAAAGACTTGACTTCAACAACAATACTGAAACAAGAGATCTGAGTCCATACTTGCCATCTCTGTTAAGGATTGCTCCTCAGATTACTCAGACCCTCTTCCTCTATATGCTGGAGATAAGTTCTTCCCAGTTGAAGGAACTGTTCTTGGCCTTCAGAGATAAGCTTAATTTTGGGTTAACTTGCTGCAGTTTAGATCTTCCGAAGGAGGTCTCGCTTAGCAATGAACTTGAAGGGACCAATATTCAGTACCTAGACCTGAGCTATTGTGGCCATGCCTCTTATGGAGACTGGGCCTCCAACCCAAATCAGTTGGAGAATCTGATCAAGTCACTTGGATCTTCAGCTGATTTAAAAATCAGCCTAGAGAGGATCAGAGTGACACAGTGAGGTGTTACCAAGCAAGAGATAAGGATCCTTCTGGATAGAGAAGGATTTGGAAACGTACAACTTTGCTAAGCAACCTCCAAAATTCGACAAATAGCTTAGTCCAAACATATATAAAAAAATAACCCTCACTTTCATAAATCCCCAGAACCCCTTCCTTCTTCCCTCCTTCCCCTAAAATTCCCACCAACCCCCTCTTCCCTCAAAAATCCCCTCACCCAATCCTTCATTTCCAAAAATTTCTAAAATTCTTTCCAAATATTCCTAAATTTATGCTATCTTGGGGTTTTGGGGTTTTGGGGTTTTGGGGTTTTGGGG